TTCAGCTTACCCCCCCCCCCCCAAAAAAAAAGACTGATGAATGATTGCAATAAAAATGTCTGGAAAAAAAAACTTGTCAATATTAAATGAGTTAGACTATTTTCTCAAATTTTTGTTAAAGCTTTTTGTAACAATTTATTTAGATTTTCATGTTTTTTTTCTATCAATTACTATACTTATCAATATGTTTCCTTATTTAGCAATTTTAATACTAGGTATTAATAGTCACAGTGGGTTAACATTACATCATGTATTAAAAAGTTTAATTAGCTGCAAGTATAGTTATTAAATAAATAGCTTTATTTTCCTTTTCAGTATAGTTATTGCACCAATTTAAGAAAAAAAATTACTTAATCTTTGCTATTTATATCAGTTAATTAAGTCCCGTTAAAAATTATAATGTTATGGTATTGGATAGGAACAAGTCTTCATATAGAGCCATTTTATTTTATTGGGAAATACGAATATGCATTCAATGAAAAACTACAACTATTTAATGAACATATCTGACATTCATTGTTATTTGTAATGTGTAACCCTGGAATCTGAAATGTCTTATTGGAACAGCCTAAACTTGTGTTTTTCGCTAACTCACATTAAACAATATTATTTATTCTTATTTATTTTTTAAGTAACAAAAAGCCAATTATTCAAACTTAATTTGTTCTTTATTAGTTACGATTGTATTTTTCAATTTTTATGCTTTGTTTGATGTTGTTGTTGTTGATTTACGTCGCACTAGAGCTGCACAATGGGCTATTGGCGACGGTCTGGGAAACATCCCTGAGGATGATCCGAAGACATGCCATCACAATTTTGATCCTCTGCAGAGGGGATGGCACCCCCGCTTCGGTAGCCCAACGACCTGCGTGCGAAGTCGAGCACTTTACGGTAGCACAGTTAAACGATATGCTTTGTTTGAATACTGAGACAAAAACATCAATAAAATTTAACTGTTAGTTCTGTAAGCTAATTAATATAAAAATGGATTGCTTCTTCTCAAATGAAAAAATAAGTGTCAGTGAAACAGTCTGTATTTTGTTGAAATATGCTGTGGTCGATTAAAGATTGGTTTTAATTTCATTATTAAGTCTTCTGTTTTTCTAAAATCTGTTTGGTAGATTGTAGCATTGAATGATTACATTTTAGTTGGTTCTCCAATAATTTACTTCGATCTGGCTCACATATTTTTATGGTATACTACTTAAAATGACTAATTTTAAAATAGTGAAGCAACTGAAATTAGCATTTTGTCACATAAATCAAAAACAAATAAATTTAGTTTCACACAGCAAATGATTTTTTAAAATCTGGGTATTGCATAAATATAAGACCATGGGGAATTATCAGAGTTAGAAGTTCGAAAAATTCATTTTTTTAAAGGCTCAGGAAAGTTGGTATGTGATACATGTAAGTAGCACTAATTTATAACTAGTTATGAACGAGAATTTTTGTGATATAATGGATGAAGAAGTCATGTCACATGTCAAAAACCTAACAACTCTGGTTTGTTGGATGTTTAAACTAACTTGAGCACACATCACCATGAGTTTTAAAGTTATGTTTGTCAATCAATAATAGATTAAATTTCTGAAGTGTAAATTCAATAAAACTTAGTTGTGACATTAAAATAAACAGTAAATACGAGTGTGCTTCTTGCTAGTTCAAATTTATTACATATATACATTCAATTATGAAGCCATTTATATTAAAATCTACCGGATCTCTTTCTTCCAGTATATTTGGTGTCTGCACGAACTTCCCTGAAAAGAGAAAAATACTTTTAATACTTCTGAATATTTTAACTCAATGATTAATTACAGTCAAGTCATTGAAGTTTTATTCTTCCAAATACCAGTAGGCAAGGTAAGAAAACTTGTAAGACTTCGATCTTTTCGGCTCTGATTGGTCAACTGTCCAGGAGTGAACAGTGTCCATGCTTGGTTTTGGCACATCGGTTCAGTGGAACCTCAGAGACTGTTGTCCGAAGTCCTCAGTTTTCCGGGGAGATACCTAATTTAACGTTTTGATTTCTTCAAAATTGCTTAATGTAAATATAGAAATTTTCTTATTATTTGACAAGTCTATTTTGTGTTAATTTGATGAAATGTAGTTTTTGTTTTGTTTTATTCTTATAATCACTCAAGTTAGATGTTTGCATTACTTTGTTCAGTATTCTCTTGAAATACAATCTTACCCGAAACTAAACAGTCTACTTCAGCCATCTTGTTTTTTTGGTGTACAGTGCATTTTCAATTTACTCACCTTCCTCCAGGCCTACATTTGACATGTAGGCCTGGAAATCACAGCTAATTCATCAACTGTGTGATGTTAAATAAGTTATAAATTATCTATCAACCAGATATTAGTTTTTTAGTTAATTATTAACAAAATTGAAGACACCAAGTCATTTTATATATGTGTACATTTTTTTTTGTTTTTGTGCTCAAAATGAAATGAAAAAAATGGGTGAGTAACTTATCCTAAGTTTTTTTATTTATTATAGCCTTTGAATTGGGATTTTATTAAAATATAATGTTATAATTATGAATTGTCATTTGCCAGTCAAGATGATTCTCTTTCCATAAACTCTTTAATTGACCACAAATCTCTGGTTTTTGGGCTTTGTGGCACCTTGAATATGTCACTACCACTAAATTTTTTTTTTTTTTACCTTATGTTTAGCCATTTAAAATTTATTGTTCCCTTTTGGGGAAGAATAAAATCTTAACTGCACATTTTGTTATTTCACCTTTTCAGGTATCATTTTTCTTTCATTTGAATTCTTTTTGGTCAATTTTTTAAATCTCTTTGATACACAAGACAAACTTTAAAAATCACTATAGCTATATTAAATGGAGAAAATTGTGATTTTTCATAAAGCAATTTTGAAAAAAAAATCAAATTAAGTTAAATTAGGTCTCCCCCCATAAAATCGGGACATAGCCACACACATGCAAGCATGAACACCATTTGCTCAAAGTAAATTGGGTAGTTGACCAATCAGTGACATGAATCACAAAGAAGGATAAACAATATTCACATGAGAAATATAAAGAAATTGACCTTGGCCGAACAAAGATATAATTCGAAAAAAAGTAGCATTTCGGGGAAAGAAAAATTAGAATAAAATTAAAATGAGCAAATGAATAAATGAGCAAAACACTTAAATGTCAAGAAAATTAGCTAAACATTAAATACTATCAGTGACATCACTTAGTTTTTTTCCCCATCAGATTTTAATATTTATATATAGTTCGATTTCTAACGTGCAACATTGTGAATATAGTAGTCTCATTCTTTGCAAAATGAGAAAAGTGGTGTGGAAAGGGAAATTTCACGCATCTGACACCGACCTCTAAATTATAGGATTTATGATATGTGCGGCTCACATTTCACTCATATCCACAAGAATATCAAAAGCTTTGTATCTTCCATATATTTTTAGAATGGTCTAAGTATTTAAAAACAAAAAAGCACATTTTTTAGCTTTTTTTAAAAAAAATTTATAATACAATACATACTTTCCTTGTCGTCTCCGTCTTTCTTTCTTTTGCAGAATCCACTCTTTAGAGCTTTTCACTGATTTGTGTTTATTAAATTTCATTCTGAAAATTGAATTCATAAATAACCAAAAATTAAAATTTATTGCATTTTTTTCTTAATTATAATCAATATGTTTCATAAATACTAGAAGGTGCAAAAAGTTTTCTTTGTAGTCAAAATAATCTAATTTTTTAAAAAGAAATATGATTTATATTGACATTTACATGCAAAACTGTCAACTTAAACTTTTTCACTTTATTTAATCAAAGTAATTGAATTTTTGTCATTGGAAAATTGCTTTTTTTATTTTTTTAAGTTAGAGTCAAAACCAGGGATGTGATTGACAAAAACACAAAAAAGAGGAAGTTTATAACTGTAGCATTAAACGTGCAAAAGAAAAAATGATATGAATTCAATAGCCAATCTGATAATGATTACATTATTATCTATTCAAATAAATATAAATAAATGGTAATTATGTTCTTAAATAAAATCTTGATTAAAATAATTTTTTTTTAATAATTTAGATAACTTTGAGTAATTATGCACAAGCAGGATTTTATGTATCACATCATTTTAAAAAACATTTCTTTATTGGTTAAAGGACCTTTATGGACTTTCTCATCAGTTCTTTGTTTTTTCGATGGTCTTTTATTAACATGACTGATCTGTAGACTGCGTTTTGCAGACTTTTGATCATCAGTGTTGATAGGACAAGAAAGTTCATTTCTCACACAATTTTTAGAGGCCTTAGATTAAGAATCGCGATGTTGGATTTCAAAATCACGTGAATAAGAATCGCGATGCTTGATTTTAAAATCGCGTGAAAAAGAATCGCGATGCCGGATTTTAAAATCGCGTGAATAAGGCGATATCGGATTTTAAAATCGCGATGTTGGATTTTAAGATTGCGTGAATAAGAATCGCGATGTTCGATTTTAAAATAGGGTGAATAAGAATCGCGATGTTGGATTTTAAGAGTGCGTGAATAAGAATCGCGATGTTCGATTTTAAAATAGGGTGAATAAGAATCGCGATGTTGGATTTTAAAATCGCTTGAATAAGAATCGCGATGTTGGATTTTAAAATCGCTTGAATAAGAATCGCGATGTTGGATTTTAAAATCGCTTGAATAAGAATCGCGATGTTGGATTTTAAAATCGCTTGAATAAGAATCGCGATGTTGGATTTTAAAATCGCTTGAATAAGAATCGCGATGTTGGATTTTAAAATCGCTTGAATAAGAATCGCGATGTTGGATTTTAAAATCGCTTGAATAAGAATCGCGATGTTTGATTTTAAAATCGCGTGAAAAAGAATCGCGATGCCGGATTTTAAAATTGCGTGAATAAGGCGATATCGGATTTTAAAATCGCGATGTTGGATTTTAAGATTGCGTGAATAAGAATCGCGATGTTCGATTTTAAAATAGGGTTAGGGTGAATTAGAATCGCGATGTTGGATTTTAAAATAGCTTTAATAAGAATCCCGATATTGAATTTTAAAAGCACGAAAATACAAATCGCGGTATTGAATTTTTAAATCGCGTAAATAAGATTCACGATGCATAATTTTTTAGAGTCCGTGAATACTTATCGCAACGAGTAATGAATGTTTAAACCGCATATAAATTCGAATATCGATGTTTGATATTACAACCGCGTGATAATGATAACGAATCGCAATATTGAAATTTAAAAATATATATGAATACGAATCGCGACATTGGATTTTAAACTAGCGGGAATACAAATCGCGATATTGGGTTTTAAAAACGCTTAAATACAAATCGGGATATTAAATTTTTAAATTGCGTGAATGTGAATTGATTTTCAACCAAAGAAAAAAAATTTCAACAAAATATCATTTACTGCATAAAAAATTTTTCCGCGCGGAAACTTATGAAAAAAGAGCGGAAGATATGGAAAAATCTGAAAAAAGCGGAAATCAGCGGATCCGCGGAAGAATCACATCCCTGCAAAACAAAGAAATTAATTTACATTTATTCTATTCTTTAATTAGCAAATTATAAGTTGGCTTTTGCAACCAATTAACAAATGATTGTATATATTTTTTAAGATAAGTTACTGAGAGAAAATTTTCTTTTGGAATAGATCTTTCTTGGCATTAGTTACTCAAAGAAAAATCACACATAAATTTTGTTTAAAAAATCAAACTTGAAAAGGGATAACAGAAAACTATATACATTACCTAGTTTTTTCATATTTAATATGATTTTGTGGAGCCTCTTCAGTTCCTAAAGCAGCTGGCAGTTTTTGAGGCCCACCAGTCAATAGGACAAGGAAATACCTACAAATGGAATTATTAAAATAGATTAATAGAGTAGGTTAAGAAAAAAGGCAGCTTTTTAAATAAAAATTATTTCTGCTTAGAAAATTACAAGTTCATCTCACAATTGGATCTGAACTTAATGCTTTCAGTCTTAAATAAAATTAAAATACAAATAATAATAACATGCAAAATTAGCATTCAACTGAGTTATTTCAAATCATTTTATATGATTCTAGTTCACTTACTTTTTAGCCTTGGTACTGTTAGGAAAATCTACAACTAGCCCTCCACCAAAACCAGATTTCATAGCTTGCTGTGTTACTAGTTCAATCTAAGAAAAATGATACATTTAAAGTTAATCACTAAATAATCCAAAAAATATAAATTAGAGATGCATCAATTGGTAATTTAGATTAGATTAAATAAAAAAATTATTAAAATACTAATTATTGAGACAAGAATTTAAGTAGCATGTTATGAGAAAATGTAACTGAGCACATAAAATCAATCAAAATAGTGCATGAACTTTCATTTTAAAAGGCAGCAAATAATAAGTTTTCTATTTTTAAGTTCTTTAAACATTTTCTTTTAATTTAATATTGTTAAAAAAAAAGGTTAACAAAAAATTAAAACCTTTTGTAAACATGTTCACAAAAGTATTAAAAACATATTTGATAACTAACTACTAAAAATTGTTGTTTTCTTTTGTAAATTCGGCTAAATAAAAAATATTATTTTTTGCTTAAAAAAATTATTAAATTATCATTTTTTTCAGGTAATTAAATAACAAGATTAAGACTAATACCTGTTCACTATTTTCTGGATAGAATTGAAAGACTGCTCGAGCTCCTCTACTCTGTAAAAGAAAAGAAAATAGATTTTAGAATTAATTCTCAAAGACATTGAGTAAATAAATCAGACTGTACACACATTAGTATAGTAGACCAATAGACAAAAATGTCAGCCTCTTATGATATTTTGAGTTAGTACAATTTTTTCATTAAAAAAATTATGTTTCCATGGATAATGGTAATATTAATATACCAGAATTTTTATAAGGAAGCATTTTTAACCCTTTCAGCACTGCTGTGTCACATGATAATATTTTTTAGAATTATTCCTTTTAGTAAAGTACAATGCACAAAAAAATAAATAAATGGACCATTCCGAATAACTTTTGATCTCATGATCGAATCTTCACATTCTAGGACTCAATCTTAATGGTTTTAGGGGGTGATTTCAAATATGCTACTTAAATTAAGCAGCGATATTTTAAGTTACGAAATCATACACAAAAACATACTTTCTCTGAATATTATAAACTATATTGCTTCTTTAATGGATTCAGAATATTGACCCGCAAAATATAGAGGGTAGCAAGCAAGCTGGGAAATGTGGACCTCATAGTTTGGCCAGAAGAGCTATCTGATGCTTGGACCACTTAATATTAATTTTACTTTTTGCGTATTTTGCCATATCTTGAGAACGTTTTAAACCAGTTGAAAATTTTTCGCACATAATTATAAATAAAGGTAATTTCAACTTGATTTCATAACTTAAGATATTGCCTGCATTAATTAATTAGCATATTTATGGTCCATCTCAAGATCATGTCCTAGAACGCGAGGATCCAATCATTAGATCAAAAGTTATTTGTGGTGATCTTTTCCATCTTTTTTCCTTTGCACTTGTTTTCATAGCCTGTTCCAGAAACTGGAGCTTTTGCACCAAACTGTAGTCAAACAAAACATACAGTCACATTTTTCTCCTAACCTTTTTGATTCTTCAATTGAGAAGTGAAAAAACCCTAGCCATTTTCTACAATTAGAGCATTTTCTTGTCATAATAAAATTTACAAATTAAAACAAAACAATCAACAAATAGAAAAATGTACTATTTTGTATAGTACAAATATGAACACGATTTAAGCAAATCAATTTTGTATTTGATACACCACAACAGAGTACTTTTATTTCACACATAATTTACATGTAGATTATTTATATCCGGTTTTGACAAAATGGTTTAAACCATCGATTCTCACATCACTGTCGCATTCTCTTATTACCTAATCTCCCTTCCAATACCTTGACATAGAGTGTAATTGTCATTTCAAGTTCAGAATTAAAATCAAACTCATCATCTAAAGATTCAACATATTCTTGAGCCTGGTATTTTTGATGCATGGTACACTTCTGAGATAAAATGAACTTCTAATTTGTGAAAGTAAATTTTATATTTGAATCAGCATTTCACGAGTATTAATGATTAAATTTTCCATATGAAATTATTTTTTTTCGGCATTGTGTTCAAAGAAAATTTTTAAAAAAAGTCAACATTTTCATAATCAATTCTGAATACTTTATACACATTTTCCATTCTCATAAAAATTAATAAAAGATAATCATAGTCTAAATTTAGTGACACATTAATACAAAATTTAAATTAATCAATGAAGGAGAAACAGAAAAAAAGAAAGTAGTTTTTCCCACAGCAGGAGCTTTGGCACCTAATAAACGAAATTTTGGCCCTTAAGCAATTTTCTGACCAGTTTGTTTCTGATCATTCACATACCCTCTACCAAGATAAATATTTTGAGCATAAATCCATTTAAATATAAATAAAATTTATATGAACTCTAATATGATATTAATCCACGAACAAAACTAAAAGAAAATAAACATACCAAACATGCATATAATGAAGTAAAGAAGGCTTGGAGACGCTTTGCAGGTTTATGTGTTCGTTTATCAGCATTACATAACCACTGAAGAGCAGAGATACTAAATGCAGAACACATTTGTTAGAGAGAAATTATACGTTATATAATAGCACAAAATGACAGCAAATATAAATAGGATGTTAACTCTTGATGAATTTAAGAATTTGGAAACAATGCACACTAGTATATTATTACACAGAAATGACATTGAAAGAATGTAAAATAAACCCTCATAAATAGAAATATTTTGTTAGGGTCCCTTTTTAGAAAAAAAACTCATCAATTAATTATTTTGCAGGTCTACCCAACTGGGTTGACGATAAATTCTCACCCTAATTATGATGGTAAATTCAATACAATAACTATAATTCAATTAAAATTACAGATTTAAATTTGCTGCAATATTATCAGCTTGTGAAAATTGCTAAACTAACTTACCGTTAAACTTAACCGTAGACATTAACTACAATTTTGATAGTTATAACACAACATCATATGAATTTAAAATTTTCATACAAACATAAAATAAATATTTTATGCTTGTATAAAAATGAAATAAAAAATTTGAGCTGATTACGATAAATTAAATAGTATTGAGCAATGCACTTATATTTATTATCTCAAGCAAGCTAAGTAATAAGTAAAAAGTTTATTTCAATAGGAATTTATTCATTAATTTTCTTCATTTCAAAGAATTTTCTAAAATCGAGAAAATTTTTGTTCTCGCCAACCACTTTTGTCACACGTTGAAAATGGAATAAAATATGGCAGTCCTATTAAATCCAAAGTATTAGCCACTTTTTAACACAAAACATTCATATTATAAACTTGAAAAGAAAAAAAAAGGCAGAGATATTTCAAATATTGTTTTCCAGACAAGTGCCTTGTTACCACTCTGCTGCAAGTTTCATAAAAATGCAGTAATATCACACAACACTATTATTTAACGATGCTAAATATGCATGTTAGAAAAAGGTAAAACAATTAACTCATAAAATAATGCTAATTTTAAATCATTGTTTCAGCAGATGAACAGCAATAATAGATTTATTTTCAAAATTGAGTACATTAGCATAATAAATCTTTTCACATGCAACATATCTTTTCACCACTTTTTTCACAAAGCAGTGAAGTCAACATTTTCGAGTCCTATTCAAAACAGAACGTCTAAACTATAAATTATAATTTCGCACCTTCTTCTTAAGACTGGTTTTTGAAGATTCAGCAGTCGCATGAAACGATGCTTTTTTGGGGAATAATGTGCTATTTTCATAACTAATGTGAGTTTGCAACAGCAATTTATGAGTGATCGATCAAATTTAGCTTATCTTTAGCCATTGCCTTCCATGTTTATTCTGAAAATGGCATAAAACGTCAATATGGAAAAAAGTCACACTTTTGAGAAAATGAAAAGCGATTTTGGTCTAATTTTTTAACATTTAAAACTTATCCAATGTTGCATTAGCTGGGCTCATATAAATTTGCAAAATAACGAGAATAAAATTGTTAAGCCGTTCTAAAACCTAGATAATTCTCTATAGCAAGATGGCACATATGGTTTAAAATTATAGTGTAAGGCACTTAAACTGCAGCTTTTTCATTTTTCTTGGCAATGAGCTAGGAAAAACCAAGTTAAGACTCTGTGCATCACTTCAAAATTGATTTGAGCATTCTTAATCTATTCGTACAATGTAGATTTAAAAAATTTGAAAAAAAAAACATCTGTGCAATTTAGACTGAAAAAAAATATCTGGCCAATGTAGATTATGCAACCGGGCAATTTTTGTTACTTTAAAAAAATGTAAGCATAGTAAAATCTCTCAAATTTACACCTAGCAATCACACTTAAACTTAAAATAAACATGGATGAAGATTTCGCACACGTACACTGAACTTTAACTTAATCTCCGCAAACACAAGTACAATCGAAACATCACATTGGCAATCCTCATTGACAATGTTGACAAGAAAAAAATTCTCCCAAAACAGGAGTATAACAAATCCCTTCCTGGAGATAAAAACAAAATTACCTGATAGCTCCATCGAATGTTCCAGCCCTAAAGCATAAACCTTGTCCCATATCTCCTAAAATAACATCACCCTCAACCTCTCGTTCTTTAGCAACGTCTAAAATACAAAAAGCAAGTTATTATTTTGCTCTGCAAACATTAAATTACAGTTACAATACTTTTAACCAATTGAATAGAAATAGAAAGCTTGCATGAATTATAAAACAGAAATTAATATTACAGTACAAAAATACTAAATGATTACCAAGCATGGCTTTACTGATATCTACTCCAGCCCAATAATGACCTTGATCATCTAACGCTTCACCACTTAAGCCAGAACCACAGCTAAAAAGTAAAATATTTTCTGAAAATTTTTGCTTAACATTAGGTATCAAGAAATTAAAGGTTAGTGCATTATGTTTAGCTCACCCAATGTCTAAAATAAAACAAGGCTGATCATCTGGTAATGCAAGTAGTTCTATAGCTCGTTCAGACATCTGCATTTGAATCTCAATCATACGAGAGCTGCAAATAATAATAACACCTTACACATTTATTCAATTAATATCATTACTAAAAACAGGTTCATGATAAATTAAAAATGAAAGTCTGTAGAATCCTTCTAAAATGCACTGATTGCCTTGATTAACTTTCTAAAAGCACTAATTGCTTTGATAAACTAGGTGCAGTATCCAGAAAAGCATATCAAAGCAATTTTAGGTAAAAAATTTGAGCAGATAGCACTACTTTAATTTACAAAATGGATAAGCTTCCTACTTAAGACGATCATATTTAGCAATGTTTGAAGAACATCCAACTTTTGAACAATAATGTAAAATTAAAAATCACATATTTATTTATCGCTGCAGAAAATCCACACATAATAAAAATGCTCATTCAAATGAACCAGTTTTGTCTTTTTGGACAATAAATAAATATTCATTTTTGAAATTAATTATAAAATTTATACCAAAATAAAAGCAGTTCATGTGGTTGCAAGGTCTAATCTCCATGGATAGCCACCAACCATCATGAAATCAAAAGATTTGATTGTTGTAATAAAGAATATTGGATTTTAAAAACTATAAGGAAATCAAAAGCATTAATTGGCAAAAAAAGTAAATACTCCAATGCACGATTCGAATTTCCCATATCATTTGAAATATATTGGGATAAATCCCTATGGGACTATGTGAAAATCACTAACTGCCGCAAATACAATCGGAACACTACATGGATTTACAATACTATCAGCATAAATTGAATGCTACAAAGTGTGAGTATTTGCCAAAGGGATAACTTCAAATGGGAAGGAATTATTTTTTTTTAATAAATAAGCAGAGTTTAATTTTTATTAACCTCTTGACATACGAAGATGTCTAGGAGACGTCATTTGTTTCTTATGTCAAAACAATAACTGGCGTGTCTCAGACGTCTTCAACACAGAAATGCCACCTTGCTCCTGACAGCAAATAAATATTTTAAAGTGATACTTTATCAATTATGATTCTTCGTTTAGTAAATTCAATTTAGTAGATTTTTATCCACCACTATTTCAAAATAATAATTCACCACTTTATAGTAACGTCATGCTATACCTTTTAAAAAGTAAGCAAAAATAGTAAAATGTTTACAAAATTTAGTTTGTAGCTATTTACCGTCTTTTTAACTATTTTGGAGTGAAATAAATAGTATTTCTAGACACACTACTTTTGTGTTTAATGATATGTCAAGGAGTTAAACAGATTTGAAAAAAGTAAATGCAAAATATTAGTAGTCTACAGAAAGTTACAGAACCATAGGTTCGGTTATTTATGCATGAGACAATGTTTTCACTACAGCGCGAGAATCTCGAATATTTTTTTCTTTTCTCGCATTAAAAAATTATTACCGCGAGAAATTCGCGTATTCTATAAATCAATTTCAAAATTCGCGAATTTCTCACATTTTCGGAAAATGCTTAGAATTACGCCATTTAGAATAAAATCGGTTTCACTTCTCTTCCTGGATCTTTCATTATTTTCAACATCTGCCCCGTTATCTAGCTTCCCTATTTACCAGTATTGTTCAAAACCTTTTCGAACAACAGAACACAACTACAGAACCCCTTTCAGAACACATTTCTCTGCAACCACGTGTTTACCGTAGGTTAGGTTTCTTCATGTCAGACGTTCAAATTTTTTATGTGCTAATGTAAGATGGACAAAAACCTTGTAAAGGCAAAATCTTCTAAGATGATGCACCAAAAATATTCAGTGCTGTAAAAAAAGAAGACGTTAAAAATGTATTGTAATTAAAGAAAAAAAAATTTTTCAAGAGTTTTCGTGTTTCTTTAGTTTTCAGAAATCTCACCCTGTTTTTGAGAAAGGGTGAGAAATTCTCACCCATTTTTTTTCTGTGATGTAAACACTGCATGAGAGTTTCTCAAAATATATAATTTTGATTCATGGAACCTTTAAACTTAATTATATACAGAGTGATTTTCAAAAAAAAAAAAAAAAATTAAAAAAAATAGCTTCTTTCTAGAATTTATAAACAAACATATGTCAAAACTGTTCAAAAAAGTAACAAATAATAAACCTTGTGCAGGAAAAAAAAATTTAATTTTTAACACTTTTATAAGTCTATCTTCATGATGCATTTTTGCAATTAAAAAATATTAATTTTTATAATTAAATTCTCCTTTCCAAACATATCATGGAAGTATATCATTGTCAAAAGGTCAAAATAAAATATTTGAATTAATTAGACTTTTCATTTTCTGCATCTCATAAAAAAAAAATTAATATGATCTAAATTTAAAATATGTTTTTACTAGTTTATTTTCTTATTTAATTTAATTTAAAAAACAATAAAATAAAATCATGTTCAACAACTTTAAAAAGATTTCTTCTAGACAGCAACAACAAATACAGCTGTAGTAATTTTGACAAAATACAAAAATTACATCTCAGGGTCTATAATTCTATCAAATAAATTATAAGTTTAAAAAATGTACAAACTTTTTTAATTATTTATTAAGATTTCAGAATCTATAAGAATAAAAAATTTAAGCATGTAAATAAAGTTTAAGAAAAGATATTTTGTGAGAATTAGTAATTTGACAGTATTCACCACAAGATTTTCCAAAAAAAAAATGAAAGTTTTACTCTTAAGGTTACATAAAAAAAATTTTACTATTTTTTATTTATTTATTTTTAAGCTGTTTCAGTCTATGAAAAAAGTAGTAAAATTCAGATAATAAACTAAATTCATAAAAATAAATGCAAATATAACATTAGAAAACTTAGAACTGATTTTGATTTTTTTTTATTTACAATGTTAAAATGTACTTACTTTGAAGTATACTTTTTTGCCTCCGCTTCTGAATAAAACTGTAAAAAATATAATAATTAACAAATGATATAATAATAAAAAGGATATAAATTTTTAAAAATGGCCAAAAAAGATATTTAAATCTGCAACTTTGTCACTATATTACATGTTACATGAACTTTGCTACTATGAATTAATTTGCAACTAATACGTAAAATAACCACTACTTGGTATTTATACTGAATTGGTATTTATACTTTTAAGAATTAACTTTATTCCATGTTTTTGTTTCGTTTTTTATCTTTCTGCTTCAGATGATTGACAAAGCTTCACCTTCATTTCGGATCTGAGAACTAAGTCCGAGACACGCATCTTAATTAGCCAACTAAAGCATTCCAACAACAATGGGATAATAAAATCAACAGCATGACAGTGGTAATGGGGTCAGCATTGTGCACAGGCCACCTTTACTTCCCAGAAAAGATGGCACTCATCTGTATGAAGCTGGGTTGGCTTCAAGCCACCAATGGGGATCAAACTCCAGTTCACAATGACAGTTGAGTGCATCAACCACTGAATCACCCCTTAATTACTTAGATCATATATTTATTAAATCATTTATATGTATTTAGGACATTTTCACTATTTACATGTCAAAGTAACCTACAATTTAATAAAATTGAGCAATAAAGTCTCCAGAACATCTCAGTTGATCTTTAATTTTAGCAAGTTTAAAGCACATATGCAATTGGTTTACAAGAATTTTGCCCGATTCTTTTTAGAATTTGAAAGAAAAATTTCAAATGATAATGCTTCATATGACAGTGCGAGATGAAGTAAATATTTGTTAATAATGCATGTGAAAAATTAAACCCAGTTTTATGAGCTAGTATTCATCAAGTGTCAAGTATCATGTCTGGGTAATAAAATTGAGATAAAAACTAGGTTATGACTTCATACAGATGAAATTGGTAAAACACTTTTTAAACACCTAAATTTTGATCATTTAAGGAATTTTGCAATAAGTTCAGCCAAGAAACTGATAACAACGAAATAAAGCACTAGTCAAACTATCATTTCAAATAAACTAATAGAAGAAATCAAAACAAATTTTATCAAATAATACAATAAATTTTAATGCATAATATCTAAAACTTACTATTTCAGGAGGGGCCACATGCTCCGGCCTGTGAGTTGACATGATTGTTTACAATTGAGGAAACTGGAAACTAAAGCCAAGGCTGAACTAGATCACAAAACTAATAAAAAAAATATGATTTCTGATCGTGGAAGAAGGGATTTACCTTAACATTCATCTGTGATTTACCAAAAACTGATTAAATTCATATAACTTAGTGAAGAGAGATTTTACAACGTTCCAAATACAGTTTAAAATCTATAAAAAGATATTTTCTGCACTTAAGAGCTCAAAAACTACAACTTTTTTTCCTCCAGGAGCGATAATCGGTTTAATCCGTTGATTCAAATCAAATAGTTGATACGGTTTTTCCAATTTCAAGGATAAAACCAAATACTTTTTATATATATGAACGCGATTCGGGTCAATCAGGAAAGATGTGATATAACGAACTCAATCATTTCGTCATCCATTGGAATCAAAACATAAACAAGTTTTACCTTCGTTAAAATGTCGGTGAAATTTAGTTTGCTGTGTAAAACAAATTTTTTGCTCAATCGTTCCATTTTAAATATTTCAAAACCTATAGCCATTGGATTTGCTGATGATAAAAGTTCCAATGATAAGACTGATTTATATGATACCCTGGGCTTAAAATCGTCTGCAACAAATGCCGAAATTAAAAAAGCGTATTATGATCTAACTAAGAAATATCATCCTGACCGGAACGAAGGGAATACAGATGCCTCTACAAAGTTTAGAGAAGTCGCAGAAGCCTATGAAGTTTTAGGAAATTATGGAATGAGAAAACGATACGATAAAGGCCTTCCATTATCATTAGTTAAGAAACAAACTGCTCGTTCAGCTATTGTAGAAAAAGAGTTGAAATATCAAAAATTTTATGATAGTCGGGGAGCACAACAAAAGTTTGAATGGCAGACTAATGAAAAAGAAGATGAAAAACCTTCTAAAAAAGAAGTGATTTTTAAAAGTCGTCAAAAAATGTGCGAAGACGAATTAGCAAAATCAAGTAAAATGCAAGGTCTTGTTGCAGTTTTTATTTGCTTTATTGTGTTTTTAACTCAGGTTGTCTATAGGAGGAAGCAATAATTGGGTTTATTGTTCTTTAGGTTGTTATTTATTGTAAAAACGTTAATATGGATAGAGCATTCAGTGGTATATTTGAGGATCATAATTTGTGTCAAATGTACCATAGTATTTAAATTTACCTCACATAAAATAAAAATATATTATTCATTTTCAGAAATATTATAAATTATTTTTATCAATCATTGAAATATTCTATGCAAGACGTTTAAAAATTGAATTTGTTCATTATCATTTTTCTTGATCATTCTAAATTTAGATATTTTCCTTAAAATCATAGTAATAAAATATTTGCCTCATTAATTTGTGTATAAATTTTTATTTAATAAAGGTGCATTTCTTTTTTTAATGATGGATAATAATGAATCAAACATTGGACCAAATTTATTATTATCTGCAACTTAGATCTATTTTTTAACAACCTATTAGTCAGCCAAGAAGTAGTGGATGAAAATAGAATTCACAAATTTTTTGTTCAAATGCAGGTCAATAATTAAAAGTAGCATATAGATAAGTTAGTTTTCACACATCTTCGCTTAACACACTTAATAAGGTCAAGGTGTAAAAAGGGGTCATGACCTGTGCAAAAAGAAGCCATTGTAATATTTTTAACATTTTCAATCAGAATTGCTTGAAAAGGACAGTGGTGTAGTTTTAGTCACAAAACATCTCGAATTGATGCTAAAGCTTGATTGATCAAGATAGGTAAAAGCTCTATATAATGATTTATTTTACTTTACGCATGCTTTTTTTATTCTTAAATAACGATTTTATAGAAGCATCATATGTTCTACATCCGTGCAGGAAATAAATTTGTTTCACTTCACTTGTATAACCAATTTAGTAGTTTTGCTTGTTTAGTAGTTATTATGGCAAAAACTGAAATCTGCTAAACCCTAAATTTTGCTGGTTAAAACCCATCTCTTATTAAATTGGCTTGGTGAAAGTCTGATGTAAGATTTACTATGTTTCCGTTTTAACTTTTTATCATGTGTTTTTATTAAAACCTGGGAGTTGCAAATTGCTCTGGTAAATTCTAGGTTTTGCTAGTAAAACTGAGGATTTTCTAGTCTTTGAGCGCTGACTATAACATATATATAAAAGTTATTGTTTTTTCTTTCTAACTCAGGTATAATATATATATCTGCCAGGAAGAAATAATCAACCTTAGATAAAATGAAAACCTTTCTGCAAACACAAAATCTCAAAACATTTTCTACAAGCAATTTATAAACTCTTACAACTGATTTTAACCCTTTCGTTGCAACTAAATTTTGACGAAAGTCGTTCGAAAACCGCTGATTTTTTTTAAAAAGTGTTTAATTTTTATAAAATTCTATATTGATTATCATACATACCTGCTATATATTTCTTTAAATTTAGCAGTTTTTAGAAGGTATAAAACTAATTATTGACTTAACTTATGCTTGTACCTGTATCTAAAATTTAAGTCGCTTAGAAACATTTCAATTCAAACGTTGAATAAATAATTTTTTCATGATCAGTAATACTGAAAATTTTTCCATGAACGACGTTCATATATATTTATGCAGATCTAGAGTTAACCTCTTTTAAACATATATTATAGCTACGCCACTGGACAAGTTTTTAACTTTGTAAATAATTTTTTACCCAAATTATTATTTCAGTTTACCATAGTGATGTGTAAAGAGGAGACCCCAGGCATGTAATCAAAGTGAGCATTGAATTGATGCTTAAGTACACTAAATCTGGTCATAGATCACTAGTTTTTTTGTAAGGGAGGGGAAACATATAAACATGGTATAACTTTCTAAGATGATCTAAAATTTAAAAAAATTTCAATGGATAGTAGATAATAGTAGTTACAATCCTTCAGCAAAATACTTTCCCAGTAATGATCTGCTTTTTTTTCTGTATTGACAATTTCTGTATTTTAGTAGCTATGGTTACGTTTATTAATGACTTCTTCATATGAAAATATTGTTTAAAATTGTTAATTAGCTGGATAAAGTACTGCAGAATATTACATAAGCATTCATCTAAATTTAGGGAAATGTATTTTCTCTGAATAAACATACCATTTATTCAAGAGATTCTAATTTCTGACGTCCAAAATGTAGGAGATAGCCGCAATCTGGAAAATATAGCCCTAATAGTTTAGTCCTAATAGTTCACTCTAAAGTTTAGACTCCTTAATATTAATTTTACTTTTTGCCATGTCTCGAGAAAATTACTTTTTGCCGTATCTCGAGAAAATTCAAATCGAATTGAAAATTTTTTCCATACAATTATAAAATTCATTTATTCAAAGATAATTCTAGGCGAAAAGTAACTTTTAATAAATCTTTATTATTTTATTTATATTAGTCAAAAAATTTTGAATTGTTAGGTATGCAATTTTTTACATCATTTTAAAGAAGATAATTTTACATGACAAAATACAACATTTGAATGAAAGGTCCTGAGAAATTGATTTCTTAAAATACGACTTTCTTAAAATTTGATTACTCAGAAACTATTCGCTCAAATTTTGTATTTTGCCAAGTAAAATTATATTTTTTAAAAGGATGTAAAAAATTATGTACTTTACAATTCAAAAATTTTTTGACTAATATTAAATGAAATAATAAAAAATGGTAAATATTTATTAATTTTTTTTTTGCGGAGAATAATTATTTTTGGATTAATGAATTTTATAATTGTGTACTAGTGGCAAAATTTAAAATTTTTGTTGAAAAATCTAACTAATGTCTATGTTATTGTGATCTTTTTCTTTTACTTTTCAAATAGAGCATAAAATGTATTTTTCTAAATACAGAGTGCTTTTATAATAATATTCTGTTGTCAGAATTGTGTTACAGATAGGGGCAATATTCATGAAAAAAGTTTTGGTTGGGGATTTTTTAAGTCAAATTATTATATCTTCATTGAATAACCCTACGCAATCACGTAAAATAACAAACAAAGAGGAAAAATATCAAAAATGAAATAGAGTGAGATAACACGATTGTATCACAGCGGTTGTACTGAAACTAAATTGCTATACCAGAAAAACTTGTAAACGCATCGGAAAAAAAAAGTGAAAAATGGGGCAAAAGATTTTAATTCGATGTAAAATAATTGAAAACAGAATGAAAAAAAAAATAGAAAACAAGATAATAATTTGGAAAGTAAATTGAAAAAAATCGAACACGCTTTGTTTCCTTACTAACATAAGGAAACAAAGTAAAATAAAAAAACGTTAATAAAATCTAGTAATATCAACGAATTCAGAAAAATAGAAGAAAAAATAAGAAATAAATCAAAAACCCGATGAAAAAAATTTGAATAATGTAGATATAGCGAATAACGCTTCATGATAAATCAATGATAAAACAGAACGAACGAAATCATCGCTTGTAATTTAAAAGCCGGCATTATCGAGTGCATGGTGCGAGCAGTGCACTTGAATGAAAATGTGCCAACGAACTGCGGGAAAATACCCGAATTATTAAATTTATTCTGTTTTATATCCAAAGAAAAAAAAAATTCATTAAAGCCACTTTACCTCGTTCCAGTAATAAATGAGCGTTCACTTCTAGTATCGCACAAAACAAAACTTAGGATAAATTAATGTCTTACTTTACAAGAGTGAGCTTACCTATTAATTTAGAAAAGCACACAGCCATTTTACGAACGTCACGTAAAAATTCTTTTAAAGTTAATTGAGACTTACCTATAATATTCAGTTACTCTACTTAGATTTCTTTCATAAATGACAGGCGTGTGCTTACTGGAGTTCTTAGAAGTTTTTTTTCTGATTCTAGAGAAGAAAAACAAATAAAAATTAAACTCTATTTATAATGTACAATCGAAAGATGTGGTTGCTTCCATATATTAATACTTATTAATTTTCCTATCTTTAAGAACAATAGCTTGTTCCTTAAGCATTGCGTAATATTCTTTAGTCAAACAAGATATATTTGAAAATTTGTTGCAATTGTTTTAAAAAATACGTTGAAATGATCCATTGCGATCTATTATAGTAGTCGTGAAACTGTTCAGCACCTTAGTTTTCATTCGTAACCTTAATAAAAGGAAATTAGAAGATATAATTTTCATTGTCTTAATTGTTAAATATATCCTTAGAAATTAAAGTGATATTAAATTGTATTCTCATGTGGCAGAGCTACCAACATAGTTTAAGCCAAAGAAAAAAGAAAAGATCTTGTAGTTAAAAATAGAACTTAAAAGAAACATTTATATTTAAAACCATTTACATTAAGGCACTATAAAAAATCATTTAGTCAAGTCTTTTTTTTTATTTATTAAAATATAAGTTACAGATTTATTAGTAGCATGGCTTACGAGGGCTCCCCCCTCAAAGAAAAGCATTTTAAAATTTGAGTATTCTTTATATAATGATAGTAAAATCTTTTTGAACCCGTTATAAGGCAATTTTTAAGTACTGTTACGTTAAAATATTTTTGGTGTTGAGATTGATTTGAAAAATTAGTGAATTTAGCTTAATACCTAATATTAATTTAATATTTATAACCAGTTTTTTTTTTTTTTTTTTTTTTTTTTTTTTTTTTTTTTTTTTTTNTTTTTTTTTTTTTGTAGGAAGGTGGATAAGCTGTTGAACTTTACCTGTTGTATTAAAAAATTGACTGCAAACTTTAATGTGTGCTTATAAATAACAGAACTTATATGTTTCTAACTGAAAAAAAATGATGAAATGAAAAACACATGACGCATATGAGACAATTCATTGCCAGTCTTCTTGACCCCACGCAAACCGTTACTGTTACCTACATTTATATAAACAAAGCTCTTGTTTTTCTTTTATTCCTCTTGTATTTTCTGAAGTCACTAGCAGATGGGCAACAAATCAGCAGGGGGTCGACAAAATAATGGAAACACTTCTATACTAATAAATATTTTCATATTTCTCAAGAAATACTCAAAGAATCATTTTATAACTTGAGAAGTGTTTAGATCACGAGATTTCTCATACTTATCAATGGAGAGTAAAGCTCTCCATTGATAAGTATGAGAGGTTTGAGGGACCAACAATAAATTACAAATGTAAAATAGTGTTTTTGAACACCCTATGCCAAAAAAATGGGGCAATGAATTTATAATTTGTAGGAATTATTTTCGTTATTTCATGCAATTATAGGGCAAAACTTCCTAAGC